CAATCTTGTCACTAATATTACCACCAATTTTTTCACCAATATTGTCACCAATCTTGTCACTAATATTATCACCAATTTTTTCACTAATATTGTCACCAATCTTGTCACTAATTGTCACCAATTTTTTCAATGTATCCTAAAGTCATGTTTGTTTGATCCAATCATTTCATATTATCTACAACATTTGGAAGAAACCTCTTTTTTTCCAGTCTAAAATAAAACTTAAAATAGGACAAAAGGAATAGAAATTCATTATTCAATAAATAAAGATATTGTTTACTTAAAAATTTAAAAATATTAATTATTTTCAATTTTTAAACATTTATTGGAAACTATTCAATCATTGTTATATTTGAAATTTGTTATAAAATAACTTAAATATAGGTGACAACGATTAAAAGATGTATTAGCAAATGAAGACAAATTCTACTCCTTATATATAATTAAAATAAATCATTAAATAACAAATAATGAATAAAAGGTGACATCACTGACATCATTCATCCCATAATTAAATTTTTCTCTCAAATTTTCGACTCGAAAGAGCGGTATCTTTTCGGTTAATTCACATTACTTTTATTTATTCGCCATGTGTTTTTGTATTTTAATGTCATATTATTCGTTATCACATTTCAAAACATTTTAATTATATGGTATTTATACTAAAGTACATGATCATGCACTGTCACAATGTCATATGTCATATGATATCAGTCATCGCATTTCATGATCATTGTATGGATCATATAAACCTGTTGGTATCATGCCGTGTCAAGAAATTATTTGGTACCATGTCATATCAATTAAGTGTTGATACTATGCTATGTCAAAAAAGCATTAGTACCATGTCATGTCAAGAAAATGTTAGCACTATGCCAAATCAGGAAAGTATTGGTACCATGCCATATTAATTAAGTGTTGGCACCATGCTACATCAAGGAAACATTGGTACCATGCCATGTCGAGAAAGCATTAGCACTATGCCATATCAGGAAAGGATTGGTACCATGGCACATTAATTAAGTATTGGTACCATGCTATGTCAGGAAAGTATTGGTATTATGGCATGTCAATTAAGTATTGGTATCATGGCATAATGTCGTATCAAGAAAAGATGGATAATTCATTGGACCAGAACATACAAACAACAATGTCAAAGGATGCATGTTTCATTATTTATCCATAAATATGGTTTTTCAAATGAAAATGAAAAAAAAAAAAAAAAAACATAGTCATTGGTACTTTATGATATTCTATTAAGATGTCACAGTCAATTAAGATAAATGAATAATTCGTCACCTCAATAATAAAATAATTAAATAAAAATGTCTATTTCTGAAAAGAGCTGATCATAGTAGATGAGACATTGTCCACTAATAAAGGTAATTCTCGACTATGAATGAAAAATTACTACGATCAATAAATGAAGCTGATTGCAATTAAAGTTAGTGGAGAAAAAAATCAATTCTAATTAAATTTTCATAAATATTGAATAATATTATTTGAGGATTAACAAATTTGAAAGTGTAAAAGGAAGCATATAAATGGAAAATTGTCCCAATAAATTGTTAATAATTACCTGGAAAAAAAAAAAAAAAAAAAAAAGAAGGAAACCCAACACTATCATCTGTTCATATTTCAATCATTCAAAATAATTTTCCAAATTTTCTTTCTTTTGTTAATCATAATTAATACGATATGATGAATCATCGTTGCCAATTTTCATCTGATAA